TCATCTTGGCTTATTTGGTCAATTTATTTTCTTGATGGATTTTTTAAAATTTAGATCGTCAAATCGTTCGAATATAAATCTGGAAGCATATTTGAGGCGAATGTCTGAAGATGTTTCACCAGCACTCAGAACTGAGATGCCACACTTGATAGCAAATGAAGCTGCTGCGAAGTTTGCAGCTAGAGAACGAGCTGCAACTGCGCCGAAGTCTAGTCCGAGGTGTGTTCAGATTTCAAACTGACATACATTTTCAACCATCTATCTTTTTACTCTAAGGCTTTTATTTGTCCGGTTTTAATAGTTTTCATCAAAACAGCATTCATATCACACTGAATAATTTTCTATCAGATAAAATCAGGTCCAGCCTTTCTACTATTACACATAGTAACAATTGCTAAGATAGTGGATTTCATTTCTTTGCAAGGAAGGAATTCAGTTTTGGGCAAACAAATTACGAAGATTTTTTGCAACAACACAAAAAAATGCGTACTTCACACAGATCCTTGTTTGAACGAAAATTCTTAGATTTGATCTAAGCTTGATGTTTTTCAAACATCGTTTCGGGGTTATGTGCATATCTGGGCAAGATCGGTCAAAATCTGCAATCGCGCTCTGCCTCGCAACCGCATATGGGTCAGTCAACCTCGTATCAGGCATCTGATATCCTCTAATGTCAAAAGTGGAATGGGGAGGGAATTAAGGGTTTTGGTTGGTAATTTGGACGAATTCTCACTACTGGAAGGTCACGATTAGATTACACCACAGTGGTGTTCAATTGCATAACTAACGAAAACCAGCTCTCCTCTAATTTGCTTATCCGTAATGAATTTTTCGGATGATCCAAATTACTTATGAAAGGTTTTTGTTGCATCTGCCTGCTTACGTTGCGAAAACACTTTTGATTTCTTCTTAACCCATTGACGTCCGCGCATTATCTAGCTGTCTGATGCATTGGACCAAGGTGCTTTTCGTTGATTTTTTATTGACCACTGCTCGTACTAGTGGTTTCAAGGTAGATCGTATGTAAATATATTGAAAATATATTTTAAAAAATCTAAAATGAAGGGAAACAGGCAGTCAGAATATTTTCCAGAAAACAATTCTCTTGTATTTTTAATTTTTCTAGGGCATAAGATGGAACCATCTAGTTTCAGTCATGTCCATGAAAAGCATCCACTTTCAATATTTTTTAGACAAACCCCTCTATGGGAGCAAGATCGACCATCTTCACATTCTTCACATACGTCGTCGGCTCCTTCATATGCGTCGTATTCTTCACAACAATCCACGTCCAGTGCTCAAACTCAATCAGTGAACACATCGACAAGTACTGTCCATGGAAGTAGCAACACCGTAGCACCGCTTCCTACTGTACGACTGCCGACAATGATTTCATTACGGGATCAACTACATCACTTCCGAAAGGAATTGAACAATGCTAGAGAAGATTCATCGAGAGTTTATCCTATGTGAGTTTTGAATTTTGATTATTCAATGAGTAGAAGTGAACGAATGAATTTTGAAGGTCCGAGGGATTGTCGGGATTTCCAAGGAGGGTTGCACAGCATGACGGCTCAGTATTGGATGCGCGAGGTGGCAGTGAGGCGCCAAGGTGATACTTTTAGGTTTTGCTATCACTTGATGTTGTTGAGTTCTATGTTTAGGCTAATGGAGAGATGTTTTGGTGATGTTCGATCGGCGGCAGGAGACCGGGGGAGTGAACCAGCCCTGATGAAGTGAGTTAATTGATATCTTAAAGAAACTTCTGACCATTCCTTTCCTCTATCTTTACGTCATTAAAACTACCGTAACAGCTGGCAAAGTGCACGTTGCACAGCTTTTGTTCGTTTTTCTCACTGGCACATGTGAAAAGTTGTTGATGTGATAGATTGCCCTGAACACATGTTGCCTAAGAGTAACCATATGTTGGAATTTTACACGAATGTCAACCGAGGGTAGGGGTGCGGCTATGTTAGCTTGTTTTTGGTTGCCTTTCCACTCTTAAGTTGCAAATTTAGTTGAGTGGGCGGAGCCAACCAATAAGCAGCCTTGGTCACGCCCCTTCCCACGACAAATTGCGTAAAACTTCACAGGTGAAATTGTGTAATGAAACGTTTGATATATTTGAATAGAATCCTATCCTTGTTGTAGGACCGATCAACCGGATGTGGTAGCATCGGCACGACATTCCGTACGAGCACAAAGTGAAATGCATAAACTACGCGAACGCGAGAACTCGTCCCCACCTTTAGAAGAACTGGCAGCGGCAGCGTTGAAAGCCTCGCAGTTCGACTAAACCGGCGACAACGCTACTTCTGCATTAGCATTGAAGACATAGACAATCCTAGTAGCTTTATCAATCAACAATCTATAACAATCGATAACGATTAGTTCGATTCATGGTTTTGAGAGTATATATACGTCACATGGTCTGTTGTGATCGATATGTAAAGTATTCACATAATACACGCCAAACTAGTCTATATCCGTTTTTTTTCCTTGTAACTAACCCAGACAGGGTTAGGCAACCCAACATTTTTGGGTCAAATTTTCTCTTGAGCATTCGATTATACTTTATCATTGTGGTATTGTGCAGATTTCGTTACGACAATGTTCCAATGTATAGAGTTGCGCTGAGTGACGGAATACTTTGCTGGTAGCTGTCCGGGAGTTTATGACAAGTCGATTATGAGATAATAATGCATGTCCTTTAAGGGGAGATTTTTGAGAAAAGAATTTGTTTTCGATCTCCTTAATCAATCATCGCCGAGACAGTTGCAGTATAAGTATT